ACCCCCCCCCCCCGTACTCTACTACTATTTTACAGCTCGTATTGCTTCCTTAATTCATTGCAGGATGAATGACCGTATCAGGCTGCAAGTGAACTAATCGTTCTCTATTAATGAGCTGCCGTATATATTAACTGTTAAGTATGTCGTAATTACCATATCCCTCCACGTGAGCGCTGCTGTTGAGAGAATCTTGTAACGGCACATTGTGGATATTGTTGATGGTCGAATTATTTGCATTGTTGTCGCGTCTGTCGACTCGAGTAGGTTTGGAACCACCGAGTGATGGTAATTTCTGAAAAACGAAAAAAAAAAAGAATTTTTTAATTCTCGTCACTTGCATTATCATAACTCATATCTACAATACTCATATCTACCTATATATCGTAACTCACAATAAGCGAACAAGTATAGGGGATGAAATTTGAACGATAAATCATATATTTTTTTTTTTTAATGTAGACATTAATCACGATAAATGTCTCGGGATAATATTTATATGCGTGAAAAATAATCTTCTTTATATATATATACATTTTTTTAGGTTGGCGCAACCGTTATAAATTTTTTTTTTTCTTCTATTTTTCCCGTCTACGGCCAGATGAAATATCTCAAAGTCACGGAGGAGTCAAATGATGGTAGAAAGGACTTTAGACGTGGGAAAGCATCGAGTGACAGGGTGTAGAGAGGGAAGGTACAAGGGGAAGGACGGAAGGCTGGATGGGAGAAAATTAATTTACCGACCTTTCCTACGCTAAGCACAGACAACAACCCCTGGGGATTTTTCGAACTCTGAAGATTTATTTGGACGAATAATGGATCGGGCATTGGGATCTTAAAGACGGTATCTTACAATTAGAGCGCTCTGGAGGAACGTCGTCGGGACGCTGGGTCTACGTGTCCGAGGAGTTGATAAGCTGCAATCATTAAATTTTGCACCGATGACGTCATTCTACGTGAAATTTATTCGAACAGAGAATACGAAAGCCGCGATTAAGGATTATGAATAATAAAAATGAAAAAAAAAATCAGTGGATCGATTCTCCATTTATTTTTCTCGTCTACGAATAATAATAATAAACAAATTCTAACCGGCTATACATAAGTACAGTCATTAATTTACCAGTGAATTTAATCAGAACCACAGCCAAGCGTCATTCTAATTCCAATTCCTGTTAGTAGATTTTATCAATGAAAAATAATGGGTTTGCACTTCCCAAGGAAAATTCACACCCGTTCACTAACGCAGGTCGAATTAGTCCATCATTATTTTTCTATACCCAGCGTGCCCATATAAACGTACGCAAAAAGAAAAACATAGTACATAGATGCACGTTCACTCCTAATGATTAATTAACATCCACATGGTCATGAAAAGTTTTTCCAGCAGATAAAAAAGTTAACGACCCGCCATGTTTTTTTTTCCCCCCCTTTTATCAGCGGTCTTGGTAAATTCAAAATTGAAATAAAAAATTGTTGTCAACAAAAAATAATATAATAGATTTACGTATAGTGAATCAATTAATAAATTTATACACACAATTTAAAAACCCGTTATAAAGCAACACCCGGTATACAACCCGAGGACGTTGTATCAAGATTAATAAAAAGAGCCGAGTGGAATAACCGAGCAGCTGAGAGGTCGACACGCAATATAAATTGCAATTGTACGAAGTCAGCTGTGAGAAGAAATCAAGACTGATAAGAGAAACACAAGTAGCTTATAATGTATGACGTGATTGAAAAATTAAAAAAATTTCTTATCTGTCATTTGGTAAAAGCCATATCATTTTTTTTCCTCAAGATATCTACGCGTACGTAGGATTGCCAGTAGGCAAATAATTATTCTTATCCATTATTTCATAAGATCCGTATAATTTAGTCCTAATAAATTCTCGAAAATTGCTACAAAATGTCCTGACACATGTAACGCCAGCTTAAGACACCTACATGTAAATAGGATAGTCAATAGGCAAATAACGTTTCTTTACGCAAGTAGTTGATAAAATGATAAACAAAAATTTTCAAAAATTTCTTATTTGATAACAGCCGTCTAATTTTGTTGCCCATTGAATCCTCAATCCTTGATACGAAATGTCACGATACGCGTAACACCAGCTTAAGGTACCTAACGCCTACGTAAGACTGTCAAGTAGTCAAATTCGACGTGGAAGTAGCTGATACAAAAAAAAATTGCAAAATAAAAAAATTCTTATCCCTTATCTCACAAAATTCGTATAATTTCTTCCTATTAAATTCTCGATCCTTGCTACAAAATGTCCTGACACGTGTAACGCCAGCTTAAGACACCTACGTGTACGTAGGACTGTCAGTAGGCAAATGATGATTCGTTATCAAAGTAGCTGATAAAAAAATTGCAAAATAAAGAAATTCTTATTCCTTATCTCAATAAAAAATTCGTACAATTTTTCCTTATTAAATTCACGATCCTTGCCACAAAATTTACTTGACACATGTAACGCCAGCTTAAGACACCTACGTGTACGTAGGACTGTCAGTAGGCAAATAATGATTCTTTGTGCAACTATGCAGTTTGCCTTGTGACATCTTGCCCGTACCTACCTTTCTAATCTCCCGGCTCAACCCGTAAGCACTGACGCGCGTTACCTCAGCGCATACGTTATCTCGGCGCGAAGCACGTGGGTGCCATTGCTCGCGTGCGGAATTACGCAAGGAGACCCATACAGCCACTTTCTCGGATAATTAATGGCAACTATGTGGATCAATTAGAAATTTTGTTCAACGATTTATGCACAACGGGTGTACAATATATAGCAACAGTCACTCCGTAGCTAATAGCGATATTCAATTACAACGCTTGGAATTTACTGTGCGTGCTGCGTCACCGCATGGTACGTTATTACATACGTATGCGCGTATGATACATAATACGTATGTGGACATAATACGCAATCAACTATTGTCAGCGACTGCGACAAATTCACTTCGACTGTTTAAATCGCCGACTTGAGAACACAGTAAAGTTACATATGATAGTTGTTTAAACGTAACACGAGGCGCCCCCAGGTACATACAGTGTGTGTACACGTATGACGTAGGACAGGAAACTCGAGCTTATTGACTTTCCTATCTGTCTCGTACGTGGGCTCGAGATTTAATTTGTACAGAATGTTGGCACGCCTGGGATTTATTTAACATGCGTGTACATAAGTTATGCCTTTTTTGCACTAGCATAATTTGAATATACGTTACACGTATGTATATAGAAAATATATTTATAGATTGGAAATAGATACGGCATACGTGTCATATGTGATTAAAATGTAATTTTATAAAATTTTATTAAAATCTAATAAAAAAAAAAAGATTTGAAAAAAAAAGAAATAGCTACCACGAGCTTTATGCCCGAAGCAGTGTGGAGTCTTATCATTGATTTCTAAGTTGGCGACAGCAAATAGGGCAGCCGATCGGCTTGAAGTATGCTGACGAAAGTTTGAAACTGAAAAGTTTGTTGTTCACTTTGAGACTGTACAGGGGAAATAATGATTTCGGGAAAAATCTGGACCGTACATCGAGTCGTCGCGACGCGTCGCTACGTGGAAATTCACCTTTTCGAAGAAACAAGCAGTTACTTCCGTTTTAATTAATTTTCTCGCCAAGAAGAAAATGACGTCACGAGAGCTCGATCGACTCATTTAAACAAGGATCGATCTCGGTTTTCAATGTAACGAACGACGAGCGTTAATTAATCTTTGATAATGACGAGGAAATGTAATCGCTTACTGCACAATAAAAGCGAAACTCGCCTTAAGGTCTATATAGGTATACATCGCGTATTTTAATTACTTTTTTTTCTTCCAGCCACCGGTTAACTCGCCAAAGAGAATTTATACTCGAGTTAAAGTGAATTTTGGTAATCTGATTATCTCGGGCAATGAAGATCCACCTTGTTATTTTTAACGTCGCAAAGAAAAAGGAGCGAACACGAAAAGTCGTCAAATTGAAATTAGCATTAAGCTTCAACGGACGATAAAGCCAAATGGCCAGGGATATAACCTAGCGGTATATATATATATATATACACATCACGGAACACGTATACATTGTTAAACCTCATAAGGAAGAAATCTCAATGATTTTTATTTAGTACCTAACGTGAAAAATTAACGCGTCGACACTAACGACTTTTCACCGTTCGTCCATTGCTTTGCAAATTGAAACGTTAAGGCTATTTTCAACGTGACGAAATTGCCCATCCAAATTGAAAAAAAAAAAGAGTTCAAATTTCGCTGGCTCGTACTCGGTAAACAGCAATACAGACTGATTGCATACAGACCGATCGATCGATCGATACGTCCGATCGATTGATTTTGTATAATTAATCGGCTGTATTGTCCCTGACCTGCCTGTTCTCCATTAGAAACACGAATCATCGCACCGACTTACTCGAGCGCGCGTTAATTAATGGCAATTGAACACGAGCGCAAACACATCAACTGGAATCTCGACGTCGTGGCGTCGCGACGCATCTGACGCCACTTAATAATTGATAGAATTTTTATTTGAAATATATTTTCAAGCCATGCTCGCCCCACCTCGTAATTTTTTATATTAATCAGGAGGTCGTAATCTTATTTTTTAATTGTCAAGTAAAACGACGTAGCGACTTACTGATACGAATAACATGAGAAACTTAACGGAGCAAATTGTTTGAACCGTCCTGCATTAAGTATTTAATACCGATCCAATTAAATTCCCCACTGATTGACTGCACCCGCAACGAAACCAAGACTCGACTTACGTGTTTATCAATATGCGATTAATGGCGAACCAATACAAAGTAAAATGATACGAATAATAATGGTGAAAAAATTTAATGAAAATTTTATCAAGGATTTACAATGCAAATAAATTTTAGCGATTAAATCACGTATCTATTTATATGCTACTTGTATTTCAATATATATACCTTTGTTTGACATCAAACCGTATTATCACTGTTTCTAAGCTTAGCGACAAAACTAATCCCAAATCAGTATCTAGCTGACCCACATGAAATATCGCTTAATCGCTATGCGATATACTGGGAATCGCAAACGGGCTGGTTTCCAAGCCGACCTATATATATATATAGCGACGTAAATATTCTTAATCAGAAACAGATTAGCGAAGTCTGATTTCGATTTTTGATCTCAGCCATAGATCATTTTGCTTTTGAAAATGGGTCACATATGGATCGGCGTGCTGTTATGCGTAAGAAAATATTCGAATAAATGGATTGAATGGGATTTTGAAAAATTTTTCATTTTTGTT